CTGTGAAACTCTTTTCTCCAATAAACCACCAGAAAACCAGAAGTAGCACTGTAGCTCAAGTGGTAGAGTGCTCGCCTTGAGCTGAAGAGCTGAGGGAAAGCGCTCAGGCCCAGAGTTCAAGCCCCACTACCAACAACAACAACAACATTTAAAGTCCTTTTTCATTCAAAAAGATTTTCTTTCTTTAAATCTTTCTCTCCTCTAAATATATCTCCATTATATCATTTTTTTTTTTTCTTGGCCAGTCGTGGGGCTTGAACTCTGGGCCTGGGTGCTGTCCTTCAGATCTTAAGCTCAAGGCGAGCACTCTACTGCTTGAGCCACACCTCCACTTCCAGTTTTCTAGTGGTTTATTGGAAATAAGAGTCTCACGGAGTTTCCTGCCTGGGCTGGCTTTGAACCGTGATCCTCAGGTCACGGATTACAGGCTTGAGCCACTGGATCCCAGCTCATCTTTTTCTTTATTTGGTTTGTTTATGCCCCACTTCTCCTAGATTTATATTTTACCTTATAAAAATCTTTGTATCTAGAAAAAAACTGGGGAGGATGGGAAGGGATGGGAAGGGGAAACAAAGGAGGAGGCTCCAATGCTTGATAAGAAATGTACTCATTATCTTGCCCATGTAATTGTAACCCCTCTGTACAGTATTTTCACAATAAAAAAAGTATAAAAATACAAAAAAAAAGAGAAAAAAACAGCTCTTTTTCCAAAAAGTAATTAAAATTTAAACTCTTACTAATCTTTTTTTAAACAAAAGAGCCAGGAAAAAAGGTGATCCTGATGGTTTCTATATATACTAACACTTTATGGTCACATTTAGAGCTACATTTAGAGCAGGCCTTAAATGCTAAGGGTACTTGAATATGTATTTATCAACTGATAGTTCAGTATTTTAACTTATATAAACATACTAGAGGCTGGGAAGGTGGCTCAGTGGTAGAATGCTTGTCTGGCATGCATGAGGCCCTGGGTTGGATTACTCAGCACCATATAAGCAGAAAAAAGCCAGAAATGGCGCTGTGGCTCAAGTGGTAGGATGCTCTCCTTGAGCTGAAGAGCTGAGGAACAGCACCCAGGCCCAGAGTTCAGGCCCCACGACCAGCAAAAACAAAAACAAAAACATACTACAAATATCTGTCTCATTTTATTTAGAAAATGTACCCATTTTTCTAAGCTACAATATAGGTTTGGAGGCATTGAGGAAAGATACATATCATATAATCATATTTTACAGCCATGTGTATGTTAGGGAATGTTTACTTAAGCAAGAGTTCTTTAAGAGCATGAGTATTTTGTTGTTGAGAAGATGTGGCTGCTTTTTTATGAAACTAATATTCAACAAATCTTATCTACCTAAGATTTCCCCAAGTAGATCTTGAGAAGCATCTGGGGCTGGGCATGATGGTATATACCTGTAATCCCAGCACTTGGGAGGAAGAAATACCATAACTTTGAGGGCAGATTGGGCTAGTGATACCTTGTCTCAAAAAATCAAAAAGAAAAGCTGGGTGCCAGTGGCTCATGCCTGTAATCCTAGATACTCAGGAGGCTGAGATCTGATGATTGCAGTTCAAAGCCAGCAGGGCAAGAAAAGCTGTGAAACTCTTATCTCCAATAAACCACCAGAAAACCAGAAGTGGCGCTGTGGCCCAAGTGATAGAGTGCGAGCCTAGAGCTGAGGGACAGTGCTCAGGCCCAGAGTTCAAGCCCCATGACCGACAAAAAAATAAAAGAATAAAAGGTAAATAAATAAATGGGCTCCTGCTTTTTATTTAACTCATCAATGCTCATTTATTTCTAAATTCATTTCAATACCATGTAAGCAACATGAAAATATAAGCACACCAATAGAGAGATAATATAAAATGCACACTACACATGATAGAAATATGCTACAGATTACATTGCATTGTTTGCCAAGTTTTTCTTTAGATTATAATGTGATACCATAGCCCAAAGTAATCCTTAATCTTTTGCACTTCCAAAGGTTGAAATAAAGTAGTTTTACTATGCCAAAGACCCAGAACTTAACCTAAACACCGAAAGGCCCAGTGGAAGCAAAAGTGAAAAACTCATAAGGACTAATCAGCAGAAAGACTTGCAAATAAAACTTATCCACTTGGTAAATCTAACTTGTTTTCTGACCAGGTGCAGCCTTTTATTTATTTATTTATTTTTGGGTCCGGTCATGGGGCCTGAACTCTGGGCCTGGGCGCTGTCCCTCAGCTCTTCAGCTCAAGGCTAGTGCTCTACCACTTGAGCCACAGCACCACTTCCGGCTTTTTTTTTCTTATATGGTGCTGAGGAATCGAACCCAGGGCCTCTGGCATGCAAGGCATGTGCTGTACCACTGAGCCACCTTCCCAGCCCCAGGTGCAGCCTTTTAATGAGCAAGAAAAACTATACTTTCTATGTTCATCCAACCTAAAAAAGACTTCTTGAGCTTTCTAAAGTCACTTTTGTTTCAGAGCTCTCTTCTCTCTCCTTCCTCTCTCTTCTCCTCTCCCCTGCCTCATCTCTTCCTTCCCCTTCCTTCCCCCCGCCCCCACCCCGTTATGTTGCCCAAGTTATAATCCTCCTGCCTCCACCTTCTGAGCTGAGTGCTGGAATTCAGGCTTGCAGGCCAGTATATCTAGCCATTTAATATGTTTTTAAAGTACCTGTCATATAACCATAAAACTCATTAGCAAGAGAAACAGAAGGATGTTAACCAAGTGCAAAACTAGTCCACAATCCACAGCATAATAACCAGTCACATCTACCACCACATAAAAATTTGTTTATATTGATATAGACCAGAATCATTATGTGTGGGTACATGTACACCAATACTGAGATTTGAACTTAGGGCCTTATCACTTGGCTTTTTCTGATCATGATAGTTCTAGGCATGACTCCAGTGTTTTGCCTTTTCACTATTTGGAGAAAAAAGTCTTGAAGATTGTCTGCTCTGGCTAGCTATGAACCTTGGTCCTCAAGTCCCAGCTTCTGTACTTGCTAGGAATGCAGGTGTGAGTAATTGGTGCCTAACCAGAATCACAGAATCATCATATTACTATCATCTATATAGTATATATCATATATGTTTATATATGTGTATGTGTGTGATCGCAGTTCAAAGCCAGCCCAGGCAGGAAAGTCTGCAAGACTTATATCCAATTAACCACCAGAAAACTAGGAAGGGGCACTGTGAGTCAAGTGGTAAAGCACTTGCCTCTAGCTGAAGAGCTGAAGGACAGCATCTAGGCCCAGAGTTCAAGCCCCACAACCAACAAAAAAATAATAATAAGTAAAACCAAAAGAGCTCGGACATGGCTCAAGTGATAGAGTGCCTGTCTGGAAAAATGTAATGTCCTGAATTAAAAAACTCCAGCACTGCCAAAACAAAAATCAAAAAAATCTGCTTTCAGAGGAGGGAGTCTAGTCATATGTCTAGAGTCCAAGTGAGATCAGCAGATCTAGTTTTCAGTCTTAGAAGGTAGTGGCTCACTCCTGTAATCCTAGCTCCTTAGGAGGCTGAGATCTGAGGATCACTGTTTGAAGCTGGCTGGGATAGTAAATTCCCCAGGAGACTCTAATCTCCAATTAACTACTCAAAAACTGGAAGTGGCACTGTGCACTGTGGCTCAACTGGTAGAGCACTAGCCTTGAGCACAAAAGAGGTTCAGGGACAGTGCCCCTGAGTTCAAGCCCCACCACTAACAACAACAACAAAAGTATTAGAGCAGCTAGCTTTTAGTCATTTTTCTGTCATTGCTCTAGACAGGTGTTTCTCTTTAACAAGAGATTTTAAGATTCTAACTGAAGGCTGAAGAAACTCAGAAACTGAGGATAAAAATTGCTGAGCTTGAGAATCTCTAAACCAATGTCTTCTTTTTAGTTACCTTGTACTTTTCTCCGTCTTTCCATTTGTGGTTTTATTGTGAATATGTCCTAAGCCATATCATCCTTTTGCTACAATTAATTTCCTTGGCTACCCTACAACCCTTATCTTACTTTTAAATACTGCTAGGTAGTCAACTGCATACCACTTTTACAGATAAAGCAGCAGAGGCCCAGGTGACTGATCACTTTCCTTGAGGTCGAAAGGTTTGCAAGAGGCTAAACAAAGATTTGTTTGGACAATGTGAAGAGAGGCTGGTCTTGCTATTCCATTAGTCAGAGGGTTACAAAGAGATCCCCTTTCTGGCTTCCCAGCAAGTGACATCCCCTGGATGCTCTCCCTCCTACTGGCTGTGAAATCTCCAAAGCTGCCGGCCCCTGACACCCGCCAAGTGCCTCCATGGGCGCACCCATTACAAAAAGCAGGGCTGAGGAGGACCCGGCGCGCAGCCTGCACCTGTACCCCGGAGCACCCCCATTCCAAGGAGCATGGGGCTGTAGCTTTGACCTGGGGCTGGAAGTCTTGTTGCCCAGGCTCTGGCCTCAGTGACCAGGACTCCAGGCTTGGCTTCAGGCAGATCGAAACTCTCATAACAGGTGCTTCTTCCTTCCCTAGAGACACTGGGCGGTCCTGGCGGGTGGGGCGGACCCACTTAGCTTCGGGCCCTTTGGGGCCTCGAGAACTACTCGCCTCCGGGACCAAAGCGCCCCAGGACGCCTCCACCACGAGACGATTTACCTTCACCCCGCGCCCGGGGCTCCGCCAGGCCACGCCCAGCCCCTCCCCGCTCAACCAGCCTCCAGGGCCCCGCCTCCAGCCGCCGGGCCAGGAAGGGTAACTGTTGGAAGAGGACAGTCCCCTCCGACCCGGTGGAGACCGAGCGAAGGTGGACCTGGCCGGCGGGCGCCTCAGGAGCCAGGGCTCTCCCTGGCCTGAGACCCGAGGGGGCGTGTCTGGCGCCTGGCAAAAGAGGCGCGAAGGGCAAGGGGGCGGCGGTCCCACCCTCGAGGCTCCGCAGCGCTGATTGGCTGCTCTCGACCGAGAGGTGTGTCACGTGGTGTCCGCGCTGGCCCTCTGGGCGCTCAAATAGACCGCAGGGAGCCACGCGTTACCGCTTCTTTCTGCTGGGCCCCAAAGGCAGGCATTTCGGATCAGACTCCAGAGCTTGTGGCTTTCAGCCAATGGCGGGATCCGAGTGGCAGTCGCTGGAACAGTGCTTGGAGGCTCACGTGCCGTCGGCAGACTTACGGGAAGTGAAGCGCATTCTGTATGGCAAGGAGACCAGGTGCGGGGCATGGAGGCTCAGTTGCGAGGTTCTGGGACCACCAAGTGTATGTTTGGGGGTCCAAGAAGAGACACTTAAGGTCTGAAGGCCTCTCAGCGAGGATGAAGCCCTGTCTATCTAGGCAGAATGTCTAGATGTGATCTTGTGGCCTTCATGGGTTACAGGATTCTGGGGTGAACCTTCTAATCATGTGCCCCCCCCAGTGTTGTCCCAAAATGGAGGGTAACGACGGGTAAGGGGGAGTTACTCTCTAGGGCTCTCTCCTGGCCACCTGGCTTCTCTTCTCCCCTTTGATCCCCTTTTCCCAGGTGAATTCTGTGTGTTTTGTCAGTTCAATACCTTTAACCAGGGCACGCCTCCTGCACCCAGCAGCTACTCTTGATTGCTGTACCTCACCTCTCTACAGTGACCATGCCTTGGAATTAGAGGCCTCTGAATATTATTGGCAAAGGAAACCTTTTCAGTTGTGTTGAGCCACAAAAATTAGTTACCATGTACAGTGCAAATGATTTTCTACTCATCAGCAACTGTGTGTGCATCACTAGGGCTTTCTGAGGGCAGTGACCTGCTGGACATTGGACTTTCAAAGCTCTTCCACTGTTATTTCTTTCAGTCCATCCTTCTTTGCCACAACCAAAAAGATGTCTTTAAAATGTAAATTACATCCTGTGGCTAGCTAGCTCACTTAAAACTCTCTAAGGGATTTCTTGGGCTATTGGAATAAAGTACAAACTCTGACTCTCAAATTAGAGACTGACTAAATTCCTTCTACTTCCCTGCCAATTTGTGGGCTCCGGGCCTTACTCCGTACAGCAAGACTGCTTGCTCCACGTGTAGTGGTTTTGCATCAGGAATTTGAGCAGCTCACTTCTAACTGGGGGGGGGGGGGGGGGGGGGGGCGGGGGTAATGATTGAGTGAAAAGTTCCCAGACACTGTGTGCAATTTAGTGCAGGGAGGCCAAATGCAAAAATGGCTTAGCAGATAGTGATTGGCATTTTTTTTTTCTTCACACCTAAGCAGGGGTTGGATGATTCTCAAGTCCATTCCCAGTATATCCATTCCTGCTCTATTTTCTACTGCACCTGTAAAGACTAGTCACTTAGGAAGGGTTTAATTTGAGGCTCTTGTCTTGGTAGGCTAGATTCTTTTTTTTTGTCTTGCACCAGTACTGGGACTTGAACTCAGAGCCTAGATGCTGTCTCTGTCCTCAAGGCTAGCACTCTTGAGTTGAGCTATACTTTTACTTCTGCCTTTTTGGTGGTTAATTGGAGATAAGAGTCTCATAGACTTTCCTGCCTGGGCTGGATTTGAACCTTGGTCCTCAGATCTCAGCCTCCTGGTTTAGGATTACAGGCATGGCAGCCAGCCTCAAGCTAGATTCTATTAAAGGGAATTAGCTTGCATTGTTGTTATTGTTGTTATTGGGCTTGAACTCTGGGCTTGGGCTCAAGGCGAGCACTTTACCACTGGAGCCACAGTGCCATTTTCAGTTTTCTGGTGGTTAATTGCAGATAAGAGTCTCCCAGGCACTCCTGCCCGGGCTGGCTTTGAACTGTGATCCTCAGATCTCAGCCTCCTGAGTAGCTAGGATTACAGGCCTGAGCTACTGGCACCCAGTGGAATTAGCTTGTTTTTAGTAGGCACGTTCTGGAGAAAATGATGGAATGAGTTAGTGGGTGTTAGAAGGAAGTAAAGTTGAAGGGTTTAGGAAAAGAGAAATATGTTTCCCAAAGAAATGACTGATAGCAGGCTGAGTAGGTAAAGGAATTTTATTAACATTTGGAGAATTATAGAGTGGAATGGGATGAAATTGTAGAGTGGGAGGTAAAATGCAGCCAACCTCTGTTGACCAGTGATTTCTTAGGCTTCATCCTCAGATCTGGCCCACAATAACTGAAGTTGCTCTTCTTTGTTCTTTTGTATTTACCACATAGCCCTTCCAGGTTTTGTCTTTCAAATTGTAAGCTTTGTACTTGCTCAGTCTTTGTGACTGGATGGGCTATCTTATGAGCAGGTTTCCTGCCTGAATAGAAAATTATTCTTAACTACTTTTAAAAATTTACTTCCCACTAAAACTCTGGTTCACACTTCAGTCAACTTTGGACTTGGCCACTTGGCAAAGGCCTGATAAGCCTAGAGTTCTCAGTCCTTTCTCTTAGCTTCTCAACTGTGCTCTACACAAAGACCACTTTCTCTTCAAGTTACTTGCCTTTCCCAATATAGAGAAAATGTTTACTAAGTGAATGAACTAAATGGGCTTTGCCTGTGCCAGACAGATAAAATCCCCAGGGATCAGACTTCCAATTTTAAGATAGCCAGAAGCAAGAAGCATTCACTGATCCAACAAAGATTTATTGATCACTATTTTTGTGTTGAGCACTATAGCTTTTTGATGGTGGTGGTTGTATTTTGTTTCTGGTGGTTGCTGAGGATCAAATCTAGAGTCCTATGCATGCTTGGCAAGCACTATACCACTGAGCTATAGCTTCAGCCTTCTATTTTCATCTCTTTTTTTTTTGCTGGTCCTGGGGCCTGAACTCAGGACCTGAACACTGTCCCTGAATTTTTTTGTTGTTCAAAACAAGTGTTCTACCATTTGAGCCATAGGGCCACTTCCAGCTTTTTCTGAGTAGTTTATTGGAGATAAGAATCTCATGGACTTTTCCTACGCTGGGTGGCTTTGAACAACAGTCTTCAGATCTCAGCCTCCTGAGTAGCTAGGATTTCAGGTATGAGCCACCAGTACCTGGCAGTGTTTTCATCTTTTGATGGTTGTATTACATCTTGATAGAAGGATAGAGGAAGGACCTAAAGAAATTCACTTGTTTGGGGAAGTCAAGAAAACTTTCCAGTGGCTGCTATTTTGAGCTGCATCTTGGAGACAGAGGGATTCATTTGCAGAGAGGAGGACTGGCTGTTGTAGATCCTGAGGGCTCTGTCTGCACGTAACGGAAGAAGCCTTTAAAAATATTCCTTAGTCCTGTCTATAGGACAATGAAGGATGAGAAGTGTAGAGGTGGGAGTCCTGAGGTCTCAGAGAGATGGTAAACAGGATGGGGAGGTGTCAGAGGTAGTGAGGATTATGTCTGGCTTTTGGCTTGGACTCACAGATAAGTTCAAGTGATGAGAACTAGTCTTGGAAGAATGATGGGTTTAGTTTTGGGTTAATTGAGTTTGGAGTGTGCTGTTTCATTCCTAGGGTTGTCACAATCACCACAAACTAGATAGTTTAAAACACTAAAAGTATAAGACCAAGGTATCTGTCTTCCTCCCAAACACTATGTATGTGGGTGTTGGGAGAATGCTTCCATTTCTTTTCTACTCTATGATGACTTTTGGCATTCCTGGCCTGTAGCAACCTATAGTCAACCAGCCTTGATTTTCTCCTATTAGCCTTGTGTATCTCCTCTGGGTGTGTCTTTGTCTTGTAGGAATCCTTACCCTTGGATTTAGGGCTTATCTGGCTAATCCAGATGACCTTAGCATTAGATTGTTACCTCTACAACTGTGAAAACATTTTTCTCTAAATAAGGCCATATTAAGTCCTAGCTATGTTTCTGCTAGCTGCAGGTATCTTTGTCACCTCTAGGTGAAATATCTTGAGGTTATTTGCTTTATGGAGATGAGGCTGGAGGCAGCCTAGTGCTAGAAATGGCTCCTGCAGGCTGGAGAAGAAGTGTGTATTTGTGGGAGAGGCCAGGAGGGAATGCTGGGGAATGGGCATATTAAAGGAGTCTCAGGACAGAAACTCTAGAAGTGATGAGGTAAGGCTCCAAGGCAGGACTGGAAAGAAATAAGTTGATACAGAGATGTCTGATAGGTGAGGAATCTCTGGCTTAAATGACAAAAAAGCAGGGGCAGTCCAAAGATGGGAAGTGGGGGCCAGAAAAGAGAGAAACGAGGAGAGAATTAGAGATGAGAGAGGAGCAAAGGGAAGTTTAGGTGGAAGAGAGAGAGACTGAAGTAGGAGAGAATGTGTGAAATAGTCTCTTCTTCTTCTTTTTTTTTTTGGTCCAGTCGTGGGGCCTGAACTCTGGGCCTGGGCGCTGTTCCTCAGCTCTTCAGCTCAAGGCTAGCGCTCTACCACTTGAGCTACAGCACCACTTCCGGCTTTTTTTTTCTGCTTATGTGGTGCTGAGGAATCGAACCCAGGGCCTCCTGCATGCAAGGCAAGCGCTCTACCACTGAGCCACCTTCCCAGCCCAGTCTCTTCTTTTTTAATAGGGAAAATCAATCAGCTTGTAATGGTGAATGTGTAAGTTTACATATGCTAAATATAGGGAAAGATACCTGAGCCACATAGACATATATCATTTAACAGTAGCAATACTTTCATCTTTAGGTGATTTTTTTTTGGTAGTTTGAACATAATAGTAAATACTAAGCATACTGACACAAACTTTCAGTTTAAATCAATGACTTAAAGTGGGTTTTTTGGATTGTTTTAATTTCACATGCTAGCCTAGTAATCTAGTGTTGAGCTATAAGCTGTCCCAGCTCTTTAACGTGCCCCTCCCTCCCACCAGTTGGAAGTTTGAAATCTGGTGCTTTCCCTTGCTGCCACTTTAACACCTAAGCCATGCCTCCATCCCAACTTCTTGCTGGTTATTTTGGAGATGGAGTCTTATAGACTTCTCTACCTGAGCTGGCTTTGAATCTGGATTTCAGCTTCTTTAGTATCTAGCATTACAAGCATGAGCCACCAGCATCTGGCTCAACATGTCCTCTTGATGCAGTCAGATCTAGTAAACATGGGAGGTTAGCGGTTAGAGGTTGCTACTGGCATAATATAGTAAACTGTTTTAAATTAACCTTTTTTTTTTTGCTGGTCCTGGGGGTTGAACTCAGGGCCTGGGCTCTGTCCCTGAGTGCCTCTGTGCTCAAGGTTAGTGCTCTACCACTTGAGCCACAGCACCACTTCCGGCTTTTTCTGAGTAGTTTATTGGAGATAGGAGTCTCATGGACCTTCCTGCCCCAGCTGGCTTTGAACCATTATCCTCAGATCTCAGCTCCCTTAGTAGCTAGAATTATAGCTATAAGCTACTGGCACCTGGCTACATTAACCTTTATTATTTGTAGAAAATATTTTCTATGGTAGAGGCATGGTTCAGTGGTAGAGTGCCTCTGGCTACCAAGCACAAGGCTGTGAGTTCAAACCTCAGGACCACTAAGAAAATACACTCTAAAAGAACATTTTAGAGATAGTAAACCTTGAGTTTCATTCCAGGTATCACCAAAAAAGTAAATAACTGGGTGCCAGTGGTTCATGCCTATAATCCTATGTAGTCAGGAAGCTAATAACTGAGTTTGTGGTTCAGAGCCAGCCAGAGAATGAAAGTCCATGAGAATCTTACCTCCAATTAAGCACCAAAAAAAGCTGGAAGTAGAGCTGTGGCTGTAGCAGTAGAGCACTAGCCTTGAGCAAAAAAGTTTAGCGGTGGCCCTGAGTATAAGCCCCAGACCTGGCACCAAAAAAAAGTATAGTACATATAGAAAATCAATAATACAGTTATTATTATCAAGTATTACATACTATGTATAATTTTATGTGCTAGACTTTTATCACTAGCACTACAGTAAGTTTGTGTATACCAAGATTCCCACAAACATGTAAGTAATGTGTTACATTATGATATGACAGCTGTGATGTCAATAGGTGACAAAAATTTCTCAGCTCCATTAAGGTGTCATTATATCCCATGGGACCACAGACATGCATGGGTTTCAGCCCTGAAAGAAATTTATGTGGTGTGTTACTGTCAAATGAAAAGGCAAGGTAAAGAGAAGAAAATGCAGAGAACCATGATATTTGAGACATCTGCCCTTGTATAGAAGTTTTGGAAGAATGCAACATTTTTGGAGTGTTATCACTGATTTGGGAACTAGGACTTATAGGGAAAAGAAAACCAATTTTTTAAATTTTATACCCTTTCTACTATTTCCTTCCCCCGCTCCCCACCACGACCATGTTCCATTTGTAACAAAACTCTAGTTTTATAATTTTAAATGATCGTGGGAAAGACTCAGAGGAAAGATGAAGTTCTTAAAGTGAGAGCTTTCTGAAGAAGCAGATGCTTAGGGTCCTTGGGCCTAAACTAGTGGAGGGACAGGATAGAGGGCCCAGGGGTGTGTGGCAGCAGAACCAGAAGTAACTTGCTTTTCTTCTTTTTTTTTTTTTTGGTTGGTCGTGGGGCTTGAACTCTGGGCTTGGGCGCTGTCCCTACACTCTTCAGCTCAAGGCGAGCGCTCTACCACTTGAGCCACAGTGCCACTCTTGCTATTCTTCTTAAAGCTGGAGATGAGGGCAGGAGGGATAGGATCCTCAGCAGAGTGAGAGACTGAAAGTCAACAGTAAGGACCAAAGAAGGCAGGCAGTGGGAGCCAAGAGGAAGAAGCTAACCAGTTCTGGGAAGGCCAGTTCATGGTTCAGAGATAGTGCCTGATAGCTCTGTCCAAGGCTCAAGGAACCTCTTCCAGTCCTCTTTTACGAGGCTACTAATCCTGATGGTGAGGGTCCACCCTCATAACCTGATCTTGTCCCTTGAGGGTGTTCACCATGTGACTGAGAGGTGGTGCAGTACATCACCACCACCTCTCATGCCAAGCCTTTGATGGACACAGTTTATTTATTAATCATGGTCTGTGTCCCTTGAGTGGTATAGGGCTCAAATTCTGTACCTAGCCATTGTCCCTTAACTTTTTTGCTCAGGGCTGTCATGCCATCACTTGGGTGTCAGCTCCACTTCTAGCATTTTGCTGATTAATTGTAGATAAGAGTCTCATGTGCTTTTTTTTTTTCCTGAGCTGGCTTCAAATCACCATCCTCGGATCTCAGCCTCCTCCGTAGTTAGGATTACAGGTGTAAGCCACAGGCACCGGGTGGGCAGGAAAATTATTTATAGGTGGTAATCTTGAAAATAGATCGAAGTGTTGAGGAAAGGTAGATTTTAAAGACAGCTGATCTAAAAGTACCTTAATCCAGGAGAATAAATGTAAAACAGTATACTATATTATGCCAGCAGCAACCTCTAGGAGAATAAATGTCTGCAAGATGCTAAGAATGAGTACAGTTTCAGACCTGGAAGGAATAGAGGCAGCAGTGGGCACAGGAAGGGTAGAAGGAAAGGCAATTATGGAACAATAGAGCTGATGGTAGTAGGACAGAATGATGGATGAAGAGAAATGTCTATAGAGTGGTGGTTACAATCTTGATCTCCCTGTCTTCATGGATTGAGAACACAGGACTCTCCCAGATGAATCCTGTTCCATGGGCCATCAGCCTGCTTTTTTCTCCCTGTGACTGCTCTGAGTCCCCTGGTTGTAGCTTCTGAAGAGAAAGCTGTATGACTCTGTCCACCACAAATGGCTTTCCCAAGGCTGTAACCCACAAGAAGAGTCTTCTACTTACTGGAAGGTGGGAGGACTGACAGTCCCAGCCAGGGAAGGAGAGGTGTGGGCACTGCTGCTATTTCTAACTGCCAGAGGGAAGGGAACCTTGACTATTTGAAAAGCAGGCTGCTTGTCAGGGGTGGAACCCAACTCGCAGCTGTCAGGGCTGTCACATGGAAAGCACTTGGCAGGGGGCGGCAACAGGGGGCTTGGACTGACAGGGCTGTGATTTTGAAAGAAATGTCTTTAAGAAAGCGATTTAAAGTAGGAGAGAAATATTATTATTAGATAATGGCTGTCAGGTTCTTTTTTGAGGTGTTCTCTGAGCATTTCATAATCCTCTCATCCTTAAATGGTAAGCCCTTCTTGGCTGGGGGCCATGAACTGTGCCTCTGGGGGTTTTACCCCAGCCCTGGCATGCAACAGGTGTCAGGAGGTATTTGCTGCCTGACCAATGGTCACTTGGGTGGAAGGTTTTCTAAATAAGCCTTTAGGTTTTGTTAATAAACTACAATGTTGGGTGAGTATTTGATCTTTGAATACTTGAGCCCATGGAGCCCAGCTAGGACCAGGTATGTACCAGACCCCTCAGCAGGAGCAGCAGAGGACGGGGCTCTGGGGATCACCCACCTGAGACTCAACTTCCTTAGAGTCCTTCCTGTAGGCCTTCCTCATAGTCAGTTCTTGGTCTCCATCAGGCCTGTCTCCTGAGCACCCTTATGCCCAGGATACTCCAGCCCCTAGGCTCCTCATGGACCTCCGAATCTTTTTTTTTTGGGGGGGGGGGTGGCCATGGGGATTGAACTCAGGGCCTGGGTACTATCCCTGAGCTCTTTTGCTCAAGTCTAGTGCTCTACTACTTCTGGTTTTCTGGTGGTTGATTGGAGATAAGAATCTCTTGGACTTTCATGCCTGGGCTGGCTTTGAAATACCATCCTCAGATCTCTGCCTCCTAAGTAGCTAGGATTATAGATTGAGCCAGTAATGATTTCAAAAATGAAATCATTTCTCTCCTTCTGTGTGTACTGCTAGGACTTTAATCCTTGCCCCAATGTCAGAAACTCCAAAACACTAATCTCTTGACTATTTACACTGCCTCCATTTGCAAAACCTAAGCATGCTGCCTCCTCACCTACTGTCAGGTAAAGTCCAGCTTTACTACAGTGTCCATTCATGGCTCAGTCTCCTTTGACTGAAACACTTTGGACTCTGGAACTAGTTTTCTTGCCAGAACATTCCCAGCTCTTCTTTACCTGATAAACAACCTGATGGGAGGAAGGGGTTATTTTACTTCATTTTATGTTTGTAATACTGGCGATAGAGCCCAGGCTCTTGTACATGCTAAAGCCTGTATTGGATCTGAGCTACGCCCCCATCCCTGGGGGGGCTTTGTAGTAAATGCAGCAGACATCATCCAAATCCACTTCCCTGTTGTTTCTTGCACTTATAGGAAGCTGAACCTGCCCAGAAGAGCTTTTGAAGCTGCTTCAGAAAGAGGCTTTGAACTGCAGGGATATGCCTTTGAGGCTGCTGAGGAGCAGCTGAGATGCCCCAGAATTGTGCGTGTGGGACTAGTTCAAAACAGAACTCCCCTCCCTGCATCCACCCCTGTGACAGAACAGGTACAGTCCTTCTTCCCTCCCTCTCTCCCTCCCTTCCTCCCTCTCTCCCTCCCTCCCTTCCTTCCTTCCTTCTTTTCTTCCTTCCTTTCTTTTTTGCTGGTAGTATTGCTTGAATTATGCCTCACTCTCTAGCTCAGCTCTCTTGCTTGCTCATGGCTGAAGCTCTTCTACTTGAGCTATGCTTCTTGTTCAACATTTTGTTGGTTACTCAGAGATATATTATTGCAGCCTTTTCTACCTGGGCCAGCTTTGAGCTGTGATCTCCGAGCTATCATGATCCTCCATGTATTAGCTTTGAACTGATACCTATAGTGGCTGGGACTACAGGTGTGTGTCACCATCACCCATCCTTAGGCTTTCTTTTGAACACATTTGAACACATTGCAGACCCTGGCTGGCAACTCACTGAGTCCACAGGACTATGAACCTCAAAATGTAGCTAAAATGCTTCTGCCGTATCCTCTCTGCTTCTTTCTAGTCTTGGTTTCCACTCTTCTTTATCTTCTGGTTCTTCCTTCTCATTCCTTTCCAAACCTTCCTATCCAGTTATTGGTCCAAAGTTCCATTTATCTACTGGGAGGTAGAGTCCTTTTGGCTGGTTCAAGCTCTCTCTATGAGAAGCTCTTTCTCAGTTCCCTGCCTGCCAACATACATTGGTCAGGATCATCTCATGTTTCTCTGTACAGAGCAGGTTTCACTGTACCCAGAAGTCTCTCTGCTGCCCACAGATCTGTGGCACAGATCTAGGCTTATGACCTAACAGGTCAATTTGATAGCCTTTTTTGTTTATTTTCATGTATTCATTTATTTATTTTTTGTACCAGTACCAGAACTTGAACTCTGGGCTTGGAGACTGTCATTTACCTTTTGGCTCACTACCACTTGAATCACAGCTTCACTTCTGGAATTTTTTTTCCAGTCATGGGGTTTGAACTCTGGGCCTGGGTGCTGTCCCTGAGCTCTTCAGCTCAAGGCTAGGGCTAAACCACTTGAGCCACTTCTGGTTCTCTAAGTGGTTAATTGGAGACAAGAGTTTCATAGACTTTCCTGCCTAGTCTGGCTTTGAACCCTGATCCTCAGATCTTAGCCACCAGAGTAGTTTGGATTAGAGAAGTGAGCTGCCAGTACCCAGTTCCTTTTTTACTGGTTTAAAGAAACATGTCCTGGATGGAGATGATTTTGTGTATGTCTTCACATCAGTTTTTCAACTGCTGAAATTCTGATAGCTTCTTTGGTTTTCTCTTGCATGGACCCTTGTCCATGGGTTTGATTCGAGTTTTCTTTTTTTTTTTTTTTTTTGGGTCCGGTCATGGGGCCTGAACTCTAGGCCTGGACGCTGTCCCTCAGCTCTTCAGCTCAAGGCTAGCGCTCTACCACTTGAGCCACAGTGCCACTTCCGGCTTTTTTCTTTTTGCTTATGTGGTGCTGAGGAATCGAACCCAGGGCCTCAGGCATGCAAAGCAAGCGCTTTTAACCACTGAGCCACCTTCCCAGCCCATGGGTTTGATTCGAAATACTCCTGTCCCAAATGTCTGATTCTCAGTTTAATCTCTGGACTTGTTGTTAGTGAACATACTATCTCATTCATTCCAGATTGTCAGGTTGGAAGGCCAGAGATGTTTTTGCTCCCACCGTACCTCGAAGTAGACTTTGAATACTGTCAATGTGGAATTAAGGTATTCACATGGCTGACAGCAAGCATAATTGGAGCTCTGTAGCGCGCGCACACACACACACACACACACACACACACACACACACACAGCCTCACAGGGGATGAGAATAAAAGCTCAGGCAAGAGTATATACTCTGGGCTTCCAGCTTGGTTCCTTTAGGCTTTCTTTGAACCAACATTCTGTTTTCCCAAGTGCCAGATATTTTGCCAAGGAGAGAGGTGACAAGGATATTTTCCTGACATACAGTGGCAGCACAATGGGAACAGCACTGCCACAGGGGCACAAAGGAGGCCGAGAGAGTCTGCAGAGGACTCACCAAGGGATGACACAAGACAGGGATTACCCATCCAGGTAGACCAGATAGCCAGAGAGAAGCACATTTCCTGGGCAGGGAACATACCAATACAAAAGGCCAGAAGATTTGCACAGTACGATGAAAGTGGCACAGCATGAGAAGCTCCAAACCTTGAATGCAGGATGAGGCAATGAAAACTGTTCTTGACTGAAGGAACAGCTGGCTTAAGGTGTATATGTATACAGACCCATTATTATTCATACCTCTTAGCAACCCTGAAAGAAAGGTAGTAGTTTTCTCCATTGCTGGGTGGGGAGACTAGGTCTATTTCTGTGGAAGCCCAGGACAATTGTACCTCTACTTATCTTGCAGATGAGAGAACCACACATTAGAAACCTCTCCACTTTCTCTCTTGTAACCGGGCTGGTAGAATTTATTGTTCTATTTGCATTGGGCTAAACTCTTTATTTTATTTATCTATTGGTGGTACAAGAGTTTGAACTCAGGGCTTTACATTTGTTAAGCACACACTTTATTACTTGAATAATGCTTTTAGCTATTTTCAAGTTAAGGTCTGTACTTTTGCTTGGATCCAGCTTCAGACCATGGTCCTCCACATACCACAGGTATGTGCCTCCATACCCAGCTTATTTATTGAGATGGAATTTTGCTAGCTTTTGCCTGGGCTGGCCACAAATCAGATCCTTCCAATCTCCACCTGCCAAGTATCTGAAATTACAGAAGTAAGCACCTTTACCAAGCCAGGGATGAATTTTTTTATTTTTTATTTTATTTTATTTTTTTTGTCGGTCGTGGGTTAAACTCTGGGCCTGGGCGCTGCCCCTCAGCTCTTCAGCTCAAGGCTAGTGCTCTATTACTTGAGCCACAGTGCCACTTCTGGTTTTCTGGTACTATATTGGAGATAAGAGTCTCATGGACTTTGCTCCCGAGGCTGGCTTTTATTCTCAGATCTCAGCTTCTGAGTAGCTAGGATTACAGGTGTGAGCCACCGGGGCCCAGCTAGTGATGAGTTCTTAAAAATGACTTCCTTACCAATAGAAATGAATGGATTCTAATCCCCCTCCTCCCCCTCCTCCTCCTCTTCCTCCTCCTCCTCCTCTTCTTCTTCTTCTTCTTCTTTTTTTTTTTTGGTGCAGGTCCTGGAACTTGATCTTAGGGCTTGGGTACTGTCCCTGAGCTTTTGTGCTCAAGGCTAGTGTTCTACCACTTGAGCCACAGCTTCACTTCTGGCTTCTGTGTGTAGGTATGTGTGGGTGTGTGTGTGCGCGTGTGTGTGTGTGTTTAATTGGAGATGAGTCTTATGTCTTTGCTGTTCCAGCTGGCTTTGAACCTCAGTCCTCATATCTCAAACCTCCTGAGTAGCTAGGATTATTGGCATGAGCCACCAGAGTCCAGCTAATCCTTACTCTTTAAAAATCACCAGGTCTCTGCCCTCCACAGACGAATTGAGGCCATTGTGGAGGTTGCTGCAATGTGCGGAGTCAACATCATTTGTTTCCAAGAAGCATGGAGTAAGTCTCTCTCTTCCAGTGCTTTCTCAGCATCTTTAAGCAATTGTGTCTTAGAATGTATGCTACCTGATTAAGAAAAACTCTACTCATCAACAGAAAGTCTATTTGTAAGTAACACCAGAAAACCTCTAATTCTGCCCTGGTTACCAGTAGTTTTTTCCTTTTCTCTTTCTTTCTTTCTTTCTTTTTTTCTTTCTTCCTTCCTTCCTTCCTTCCTTCCTTCCTTCCTTCCTTCCTTCCTTTCTCTCTCTCTCTCCCTTCTTCCCTCCCTCCCTCTCTCTCTCTTTCTCTTTCTTTTTTTCTTTCTTTCTTTCCTTCTCAGATTGGATATCAAATCCAGAACTTTATTCATTCCAAACTATGCTCCCTGTCCTCCTCCTTGATTGGTTTTCTTTTCTCTCTCTCTTTTGAGTTCCAAAGAATAATTACTTAATAAGAAAAAAGTCAGGAACTGATGGCCCATGCCTATAATCCTAGCTACTCAGGAGGCTGAGATCTGAGGATCACAGTTCAAAGCCAGCATGGACAGAAAATCCATGATACTCTTATCTCCAACAAAAAGCCAGAAGTGGAGTTGTTGCTCAATTGATAGAGTGCTGGCTTTAAGCAGAAAAGCTGAAGGACAGTGCCCAGGTGCAAACATAAATCAAAGGAAAAATAGGGGGCTGGGAAGGTGGCTGGGGGCTGGGAAGGTGGCTCAGTGGTAGAGCGCTTGTCTTGCATGCATGAGGCCCTGGGTCGATTCCTCAGCACCACATGTACAGAAAAAGCTGGAAGTGGCGCTGTGGGTCAAGTGGTAGAGCGCTGGCCTTGAGCTGAAGAGCTGAGGGACAGTACCCAGGCCCTGAGTTCAAATCCCACAACCGACCAAAAAAAAAAAAAAGGAAAAATAATACGTGTACACACAGTCTATCAATCTTGGCTTTTTTAATAACCTCCAGCTGGTCTCCTTGCCACCTCGACACTGGTCCCTCCTAAGCCTACTTTACCTTCTGATCTAGGCTAAGCCAGCCAGCCTCTCTCCCTAACATTCTCTGTTATACACTTCTGGTACCTTTATTATTTATTTATTTTTGCCAGTCCTTGGGCTTGAACTCAGGGCCTGGGCTCTGTCCCTACGCCTCTCTGTGCTCAAGGTTAGTGCTCTACCACTTGAGTCACAGTGCCACTTCCGGCTTTTTCTGTTTAGGTGGTACTGAGGAATCAAACCAGGGCTTCATGCATGCTAGGCAAACACTCTACAACTAAGCCACATTACCAGCCCATCTGGTACCTTTTTATATTTTTTTAATTTTTTTAAAATTATCTTTAAGTAGTTGTACAAAGAAGTTGCCATTTAACAAAGCAGTTTATGAATACAATGCATCTTGTCTTTTTTGGGGGGGGTGGGAGTGTATTGGGGTTGGAAGGTAGGGCCTCAAGCTTACTAGGTAAACCTTTCATCTGGGCCATACCTGTAGCCCTTTTCCCTTCAGTTTAACAGATAAGGTCTTGTGCTTTTGTACAGACTGGTCTCAGACTATGATTCTCCTACTTCTAGGTAGAAGAGCTGGGATTATAGGTGTGGACCTTATGCTCTATGTTAACTTTTTACTTCTTACAAAGTTAAACATGCTCATGATTTAGAGTCATAATAGGCCTACCGTTCTATTACCAAAAAATTGGCTGTTGAACTAGCAAATTCTTTTGAAATTTATTCATTTCTGTTGCTACGTCTCATTATTTTGTTGTCTCATCTCTGTATTTCCTACCACAGTAAACCCTTGGCCTCCTTGTGCCCCTCTAGATATGTGTATCCTTCCTGTTTATCTCCATTCTAGTTGCTGCTGAGTCCTTTTGTCCATGTTTATTTCTTTTCTTGAGTCCTTTTTTATTTTCCTTCCAGTTTGCCTTGTTTTCTACATACTTACCGAAAGTTGAACCCTTTCTACCAGTCTCTAAGGTCCTTTAACCTGTTTGGACTCATCAAGCAGTCTATCAGTTCCTTTGAAGGAATCTGCCAAACCTTCTGACTTACTGTCTGAATTAGTTGCCCTGTCTGCTGTCCACAGAGCTATCCTCTGGGGACCTCCCCTCACCATTCTCCTGTAGAGACCTCCTTCCTTCTTCCTTCTGGTTTTACTCCCTCATTTTAATGGAATGATTTCTTGAGAAAGAGCATGTCAGAGATATTGTTTTGAAGCCATGTGTATCCAAGGAATATATGTCATCTGTGCATTTGTGTGTGTGTGTACGTGTACATGTACGTGTGTGTCAGTATTGGGACTTGAATTCAGATCTGGGTGCTGTTGTTTAGCTTTGCCACTCAAGGCTAGAGCTCTACCACTTGAGCCATAGCTCTGCTGCCAGCTTTTTGGTGGTTAATTGGAGATAAGAGTCTCACCAGCTTTCTTGCCTGGGCTGACTTTAAACCTTGATCCTTAGATTTCAGCCTCCTGAGTAGACAGGATTACAGGCATGAGCCACTGGTGATCACTTACAATGTTTTGGTTTTTTTTTTTGATAGTTTGAGTACATATCAAATTCTAGGTTACCAACCCAATTTGGCATCAAATTATAGGTTAGAAATCATTATAGAAGTTTGGACACATTGCTCCATTCTAGCATTGAGTAAGTGTCATTGACTGACTCAAATCCATTTTTATTTGTCTACAATTTGTTTATTTTTCTCTAGAAGATTGTAGGATCTTGTTTGTTTTTTAGGCTAACTTAAAAAATTCCATTGCATATACCTTTTTCGAACCTTTAGGCACTTCGTAAATTATTTCAACTTAGACACTTGGGTCTATTAATCCACATTTTCTTGTATTGTTTCATTAGTTCTTTTCTCTGTCAAAAGGCAAAATTAATATTAGTTGAAGGTTGTTAGTTGGCTTTATTTGTGATTCTAGAATCGGAAAACATTTCATTTCATAAAATAGAATATGTCAGCAGGTCACTGGTAGCTCATGCTTTTTTCAAGCCCAATACCAGCAAAAATAAAATAAAATAGGTCTTTCAATGAACTGAGCAGGAGTTTGGTTTTATGAAGAAGAGAGGACTGGTTGTTTGAAAATTATTTTCTTTGTAAAGTAAATAATTGCTAGCCTTCTAGGGACCTGGACACAGAACAATTAAGAAACAAAACAACTGACTGGTTGACATTATTTAACTGTAGATTAATTTTGGTGTAAGAATTAAAGCACAGGGCTGGGAAGGTGGCTCAGTGGTAGAGTGCTTGCCTTGCATGCATGAGGCCCCGGGTTCGATTCCTCAGCACCACATAAGCAGAAAAAGCTGGAAGTGGTGCTGTGGCTCAAGTGGTAGAGCGCTAGCTTTGACCTGAAGAGCTGAGGGACAGTGCCCAGGCCCAGGGTTCAGGCACCATAACTAGCAAAAAAAACAAAAAAAAAAAGAATTAAAGCACAAAGGAAATACATCCTGCTGGTTGAAACTGCCCTATCTGGGAGATTTGACTATTCATTTCTTTTTTTTTTTTGGTTGGTCGTGGGGCTTGAACTCTGGGCCTGGGCGCTGTCCCTCAGCTCTTCAGCTCAAGGCGAGCGCTCTACCACTTGAGCTACAGCGCCACTTCCGGTTTTCTGGTGGTTTATTAGAGATAGGAGTCTCATGTTCTCTCCTGCCCAGGCTGGCTTTGAACCGCGATCCTCAGATCTCAGCCTCCTGAGTAGCTAGGATTACAGGCGTGAGCCACCAGCGCCTGGCCATCATTTCTTTCAACTCAGTTTCTGTCTGGTAGCATTTAAGCTTAGTGTGAGTGAGTCATTTTGATTTTAGTTGACCCTTTGCGCCACTAGTGTTGTGGGACTTTTTTTTTTTTTTGTCAGTTGTGTGGCTTGATCTCTGGGCCTGGGCACTGTCTCTGAGCTATTCAGCTGAAGGTGAGCCCTCTACCACTTGAGCCACAGAGCCACTTCCAGTTTTCTGGTGGTTAATTGGAGGTAAGAGTCTCACGGACTTTCGGACTGGACTTTCATTGCCCAAGCTGGCTTTGAACCACGATCCTCAGTTCTCAGCTTCCTGAGTAGCTAGGATTACAGGCGTGAGCCATTGGCACCTGCCTGAAACATTTTTTTTAAATCCTCTTACATCTTATTTAGCACTTCTTTTTCTTCAGTCTTCCTGATATCTGGGTAAGTTACCTAATTTTCTTACCTGTTTCCTTCTGTTTTTCCTATCTTATATCTTGCACAATTTTCTGATAGATTTCATTTACTTTGTCATTTAGTTCTTATCTTTTTCACTTCTGCTGTCATATTTTGAATAAATAAGATGTATTTTGGTCTGAAAGTCCATGTTGTATTATATCTTATCTTGCCTTGTGGTGTTATCTCTAAAGAAGTCAACATTAAATAAACTTTTGTGTCATTGTATGATCCCTAGTTACTGCAAGCTGGTCTCCTTTTTTCCCATAGCACCACTTCTGGCTTTTTCTGCTTATGTGGTGCTGAGGAATCGAACCCAGGGCAAGCACTCTACCACTGAGCCACCTTCCCATCCTGTTCCCAAACTTCTTTTTTTTTTTTTTGGTCAGTCCTGGGGCTTGAACTCTGGGCTTGGGTGTTGTCCCTCAGCTCAAGGCTATCGCTTGAGCCACAGTGCCACTTCTGGTTTTCTGGTGGTTTATTGGAGATAAGAGTCTCAGGGACTTTCCTGCCGGGCTGGCTTTGAACCTCCATCCTCAGATCTCAGCCTCCTGAGTAGGTAGGATTACAGGCGTGAGCCACTGGCCCCCAGCTTCCCAAACTTCTTAAATGGCTTTTCTTATTTCTGAAAGAAGCCACCTCAATGCTGGGAGGGGGAGGGTCCCAATGGTAACCTCACGCTGCTGGGCTGAGGACAAGAAGCAGAGGCCATGTGTGATGTGACTCGAACCTCTCTGCTTGCAGCTATGCCCTTTGCCTTCTGTACAAGAGAGAAACTCCCATGGACAGAATTTGCTGAGTCGGCAGAGGATGGGCTCACCACTAGGTTCTGTCAGATGGTAAGACATTAGCTGCTCCTGGGGTAGCAGCTGCTGACCTGGTGGGTCACAGTGCACAGCTGTCAGATGGAGCCTTCCACCACGGAAGATGAACCTGCCTGGTGCTTGTTTTGACAGATACGATTAGATAAGACCATGTGCCACCTTTGTGTGTGTGTGTCTCTGTGTGTCTTGTGTCTCCGTGTCTATTTGTACTTTCACTTAAATGTATAGATAGTTTCAGAGCTAAAAGAACCGTTGACGCCTTTGTTAGGTGAGGTTGTTGCAGCCCAGAGAAACATAGTGTTTAGGTGGCTTTTTAAATTCTTTTTTAATTTTTGTGCTGGACCTGGGGCTGGAACTCAGGGCCTAAGCACTGTTCCTTAGCTTTTTTTTTTGGGGGGGGGGTTGGTCATGGGGCTTGAACTCTGGGCTTGGGTGCTGTCTTCAGCTCAAGGCTAGCACTCTACCGCTTGAGCCACAGCGCCACTTCTGGTTTTCGAGTGGTTTTTTGGAGATAAGAGTTTCACAGACTTTCCAGCCCAGGCTGGCTTTGAACCTTGATCCTCAGATCTCAGCCTCCTGAGTAGCTAGGATTACAGGCCTAAACCACCGGTGCCTGGCTCCCTTAGCTTTTATTGAGCAAGGCTGGCCTACTACCACTTGAACCACTTTTCTGGTTAATTAAAAATAAGAGTCTCATGGACTTTTCTGCCTTGGCTGGCTTTGATCTGGGATCTTCAGATCTTAGCTTCCCGAGTAACTAAGATTACAGGTGTGAGCCACAGGCACCTGGCAAGAGGTGACTTCCATAGTAAATCTGGCAAGTAGCAGACCTGGCACTCAGGGCCCAAGGACATTTCATTGGTATAGATTTTTTAAAATTTTTACTCAAACCTTGTAATACATGAACAGTGCCCAGTAGTTTATATAATCCTAGCTACTTGACTAAGTCCATCCTGGGAAAAAAGTTAGCAAGATTCTATCTCAAAGACCAAACTGGTTTGTGGTGGTTCACATCTGTAATGCAGGGTATTCAGGACACATAGGTAGAAAAAATATGATCTGAGGTCAGCCCCTTGCAGAAAGCACAAGATTCTTGACTAAAACAACAGGGGATGGAGGGATAGCTCAAATGATAACACACTTAACCAGCAAGTACAAAGCCCTAAGTTTCAATTGTCTTCCTGCCCCCTACCAAACAAAAAAAAAGCCTCATAATATTCGTGGTATCCTATTTGTATGAATTATCCAGAGAAGTAAATGTCTAGAGACATAAAACAAATTCAAGGTTGCCAGGGCAGAGGTGAAGGAAGAAGGAGTTAGGGTTTCTGTTTTTTATTTTGAAAATGTTCCAATATTAGATTGTTGGTGAGGTTCTCACTACTCTATACTAATTTTTGCCAGGTGCTGGTACCTCACACTTGTAATCCTAGCTACTTGAAGGGCTGAAAATAGGAGGATCATGATTTAAGGCCACGTTCCCAAGACTCGTTCTCAGTTCTTAGTCAGATGCAGTGGTGTGCTTCTTTCATCTCAAGCAACACAGAAGGCCAGCTGGCTCCAGGCCAGTCTGAATAGAAAAGTAGGGGAGACTCCATTCTGTGGAGAAAATCCAGATACAGTAGTAAGATCCTGTAATCTCAGCAAAAATAAGGTAGCCTAAAGTAAGTGGTTGCTATGCCCAGTTAGGAAGTGAGACTCTGTCTCAAAAATAACCGGCAAAAAACCGGGGCTTGAGATGTGGCTGAAGTGGTAGAGCATCATCCTAGTAAGCTCAAGGCTTTGAGTTCAAATCCCAGTACCACCAAAAAAGTTTTATGCTACATGAATTTTTTTGGGGGGGGGTCCGATTGTGGGGCCTGAACTCTGGGCCTGGGCGCTGTCCCTCAGCTCTTCAGCTCAAGGCTAGCACTCTACCACTTGAACCAGCTGTCCCTCAGCTCTTCAGCTCAAGGCTAGCACTCTACCACCTGAGCCACAGCGCCACTTCTGGCTTTTTTCTTTTTGCTTATGTGGTGCTGAGGAATCGAACCCAGGGCCTCAGGCATGCAAGGCAAGCACTGTACCACTGAGCCACCTTCCCAGCCCTACATGAATTATTTTAACAAAGCTATTATTTTAAAAAAATATATCACATTTAGAGAAGTGAGGGACGCTGAGGGATGGCATTTTATATTTATTCTCGGTTCTAACAAAGAAAGGAACCACTCACTTTATTTCTCTGTGTTTTCTCTCAGACTGTTTACATGCACTTAGGAATGGTGGGGTGGTGATCAGAGCTGTATCATAGTGTTTTCGTCAATACTGAGTTCTGTTCTAAACATTGGTATTCTTAGGGTAATGGGAAAAAACTATTCATAAAATTGTTGATTCTTTGCTCTGGATAAAGCAGGCAGGACACTGGACGGGCAGCTATTGCAGTTGATAAGCCTGAACTAAGGCTTATGAAGGAGGGTGTGAATGAGAGCTGGTACTAGAAGGACACTTGTCAGCTTTAAGCAGGAAAAGGGAGCCAAGGCCTCCATGAGCACAGAGATCCTAGTGTTGCCATCCAAAGATACCTTTCCTTCTCCTCTGTCATTAAAGCTAGAGGCAATGATGGACCAATTAGAATAGAGGACACCAGCTGGGGCTGCTCACCTTCATGGTCACTAGCTCCTTGAGACCAAAGGGATTTAGTGTCTGCTAAGACTTGAATGTATTCCACAGAAGATGAAGTTTTAGAAACTGAATTCCTGATGCAAACACTGTGAAAGTGTGAATGTAATTAGGCCAAGAGGGCTCTGCCCTCATGAATGGACTAACATCAATATCTCAAAAATGGGTTTGTTATATAAGCAAATTGGGGTTGGGGGTTCCTGCTCTGTAGTGCTCTCTTACCCTCTGCCTTCCACTACGCAATGAGGTTATAGGAAGATCCTTACCCAGTGTTGGCTTACTTCAAGAAGAACTCTCTAGCCCTCAGAAGTATAAGAGATCAAAGTGTTCTTGGGGCTGGGAAGGTGGCTCAGTGATAGAGTGCTTGCCTTGCATGCATGAGGCCCTGGGTTCGATTCCTCAGCACCACATAAGCCAGAAGAGAAAAGCCGGAAGTGACGCTGTGGCTCAAGAGGTAGAGCGCTTGCCTTGACCTGAAGAGCACAGGGACAGTACCCAGGCCCAGAGTTCAAGCTCCACGACTGACAAAAAACAAAACAAAACAAAAAAACCTGAACCAGTTGGACAGTAGCTCCTCATTCTTCTCTGTCCCTAGCTCTTGACACCAGCATTCTACATTCTGTAGCTGTATTTGATTACTCTAGGTAATTTACATAAGTGGCTGATTTCATTTGGTGCAATGTCCTTTAGATTCATTCATATTATCAAATGTGACAGGATTTCTTTACTGTAAACTTAAAGTATTAATACAATTCTACCATTTTCATATATAATATTTTGTTTATCCATTCATTTGTTAATGGAAACCTGGTTTTCTTCTACATCTTGACACTTCTGAATAAGGCTTCAGTGAACATAGGTGTAGAATTACCTCTTTTAGTCTATCCTTTCCTTTGGATATAAACCAAGATGTGTGATCATGTAATTCATATTGTTCCTATTTGAGAAACCTCTATATAGTTTTTCATGGTGGTTGTACCATTTTACATTTTCACTAGCAGGGCACAAGGATGATGATAATGATTCTTTTTTTTTGGGGGGGGGGGGGGGATCCAGTCATGGGGTCTGAACTCTGGGCCTGGGCGCTGTCCCTCAGCTCTTCAGCTCAAGGCTAGCGCTCTACCACTTGAGCCACAGTGCCACTTTCGGCTTTTTTTCTTTTTGCTTATGTGGTACTGGGGAATCGAACCCAGGGCCTCATGTATGCAAGGCAAGCGCTCTACCACTGAGCCACCTTCCCTGCCCGATAATGATTCTTAATATATCTATATCTATATAATCTATTTCAGGACAACGCTAGCAAGTAATTTTTACAATAACAGCTATGGCAAGTGATAGCTCCAAACCAAGCTTTAATTATTTGGAAGTATCAAAGGTCTCCAATAAAAAAAAAAACTAGGAAAACATATTTTCTTTTTTTTTTTTTTTGTCGGTCGTGGGGCTTGAACTCTGGGCCTGGGTGCTGTCCCTCAGCTCTTCAGCTCAAGGCGAGTGCTCTGCCACTTGAGCTACAGCGCCACTTCCGGTTTTCTGGTGGTTTATTGGAGATAGGAGTCTCACGGTCTTTCCTGCCCGGGCTGGCTTTGAACCGCGATCCTCAGATCTCAGCCTCCTGAGTAGCTAGGATTACAGGCGTGAGCCACCAGCGCCCGGCGGAAAACATATTTTCAAATGGAACTCTGATATCCATTTTTCCAGTTGGCAAAGAAGAATGAAATGGTGGTAGTATCTCCCATCCTGGAACGAGACAGAGGGGGCGTTCTATGGAACACAGCTGTGGTAATCTCCAATTCTGGAGCAATCTTGGGAAAGACCAGGAAGAACCATATCCCCAGAGTGGGTGATTTCAATGAGGTAAGCAGCCTGTCAAATGGCCAGCCCAATTTAAGTGGGCCTATGGGGAAGTTCTGTGTTACACAGTGTAACATAGAAGGTCTCATGACTTTGCCCTGTACTGAGATTCAAATGGTACTCTCAAGTGAATCACAGACTTTTTTGCATGGTAAGTTTTGTGTATATGTGCACGTGCGTGCATGCGTGTGTCAGTGTGAGTGTGTTTCATCATAACCTGAGATGGCTTTCTCCTTTTCAGTAATTGCTACATAAATTAAAACCAAAATAATAATGATCCCTGTGACCTCCTGGGCTCTGAGCTCCTAACTACTTGTGGCCCACCAGTGTTAGCTTTAGGGATGCTGTTCTTTGTCCGTGGCCCACATGTCTTAACTGTCCAATGTCCACATAGCAAGTGAATAGGAGGAGGTGAATGTGCCTGTCTGTGTACATGATGCCTACATGGAACTCCTTAAGCCTGTAAGTAAGGCATAGATGGGGGGGGGCTTTTTTGAATGGGTAAAGCCACTTCATAGGTGTGTGAGGTGGAGAGTGGATGTTTGAAGGAGGGATAAGAATTTAATCCCTAAGATACTAAATCTAGACATGTTTTTTCCAATAATTATGGCAGTTGAAGATATGATGTCCTCAATCCTTCAATCTCCTACCCTGATTATGGAAACTCAAGTCTCATGATGTGTATACCTTTAGCTCCCTGTTGGTAGTACAGAGCAGAAGACCTCTTTGCTCATTGTCCACCATGTGTGCACATCATTGTTCCTGACTGACCGGGTGAATTTTGAAATTGATGAGACTCAGTAAAAGGCTCAGGTGCATATCTGTTTGGCATCCAGTTTTCCATCTATCCTTCCTGTGCATTCCCTGATAATGTCCCACAGCCAGCACCCTGAGGGGGGTAGGCAAGAGAGGTAGAGCTGGGACAATGAGGTTTGTTTATGCTTGCTCTGCAGGTGCATTCTTAACCCAGACATGCAGCTTAAGACACTTTGTGGTTTGGTTTTCACCACAGATTTGGTCTTAATAGCTAGGCAATCCCCATGCCTTCTCAGGGAAAAGAAAGTTCTCTTTTCCCCTCCTGATAGGGCAGGGGTTGCTTGGATGAGTCTGTTACCATCAGCTATAACATTTGTATAAGGTCATGTGGTTGCTGAAGACCTCAACTGACTCATGTTAATATTGCTCACATTTCAGCTTTTTTATTCTTTTTTTGGGGGGGGAGGGGGTCCGGTTGTGGGGCCTGAACTCTGGGCCTGGGCACTGTCCCTCAGCTCTTCAGCTCAAGGCTAGCACTCTACCACTTGAGCTACAGCGCCACTTCTGGCTTTTTTCTTTTTGCTTATGTGGTGCTGAGGAATCGAACCCAGGTCCTCAGGCATGCAAGGCAAGTGCTCTACCACTGAGCCACCTTCCCAGCCCAGCTTTTTAATTCTTGAAAGGTAGAAAGTTGCTTTAGGAATTTTTTGGACATGTCAAAAAGGAAGATTGTGGTGAAATGCTTAAGCCATACTGATTTCCTCACAGAGTTGATGTGTATTAGAGAGAGAAAGAGAGACGGACACACAGAGGGAGAGAGAATGAGTATATCATAGTGAAATTTTGGAGCTAGGCACTGGTGGCATACACCTGTAATCTTAGCTTCTCAGGAGGCTGAGATCTGAGGATCACTGGTTCAAAGCCAACACGAACAGAAGAGCCCATGACACACTTTTCTCCAATTAACTACCAGAAAACCGGAAGTGGAGCTGTGCCTCAAAGTGGCAGAGCACTAGGCTTGAATACAAAATCTCAGGAACAGTGCCCAAGTCCTGAGTTCAAGCCCTACAACCTACATACACACACACAGATTTTGGAACTTAAAGTTGAGTTGTATCCAAAGTGTACTTTCTGCTGTGTTTAAGGAGAGGGAAATTCTTACAGCTCATTGGCATAAATATAAAACTCTTGTTGTTGGTTGTTTTTTTTCAGTCAACATACTACATGGAGGGAAACCTAGGTCACCCTGTGTTCCAGACCCAATATGGGAGGATTGCGGTAAATATTTGCTATGGGCGGCACCACCCCCTCAACTGGCTCATGTACAGCATCAATGGAGCAGAGATCATCTTCAACCCTTCAGCAACCATCGGAGAGCTCAGGTTACTTGGGAGACAAGATTTGGGAGCTTCCTAGAACCTAGACACCACCTCAGGTCTTTGCTATGGAGAAAGAAGATAGGAAATTGGATGGGAAGTTATTGACATTGATAAGCCTGAACTAAGGCTTATGAAGGAGGGTATAAATGAGAGCTGGTACTAAAAGGACACTTGTCAGCTTTAAGCAGGAAAAGGGAGCCAAGGCCTCCATGAGCACAGAGATCCTAGTGTTGCCATCCAAAGATACCTTTCCTTCTCCTCTGTCATTAAAGCTAGAGGCAATGATGGACCAATTAGAATAGAGGACACCAGCTGGGACTGTTCACCTTCATGGTCACTAGCTCCTGATGTTCTTGAGACCAAAGGGATTAGTGCCTGCCAAGAATGTAATCCCCAAAGCTGAGGTGTTAGAAATTTGACCCCTACCCCCATTGTAGGTGTTATAAGGTAGGGCTTTAAGAGCTGAACATTCTACCTTAATAGTGGATTAATTTCAGTGTCTCAAGAGTGGATTTGTTATTAAATAAGTTGGAGCCAGACATGGTAGTACACACCTGTAATCCCAGCACTCAGGAGTTTGAAGCTGAGGATCATCAGCCTAGGCTCTGGCAACCCCTGTGCCCCTGGGCAGGGCTTCAGGGCTCCTCATTTAATACGGGCAGCAAGTGATGAGATAGCTCCACAAGACCTTGCTTGTTCACTTGGTTCTTCCCTTGAGGCTGAGCACTTGGGTGGTTTCCAGCTTTGCCTCCTAACAAGTAACAGAGCTTTGTGAATTCATATGCAAATATTTTTCTCCTCAACTCACTTCCTCTAAGGCATGATGCCATAGCAAGAGGGGCTGGCTTCCACACTGTGTGGGAGGTGCCCAGGTTTTGGCAGAGCCATTCCCAGTGCTGAGGTGGCGACAGCCAGTGGGGGTTTGTTGGACAGCTCTGAGTGCTCTGGTGTCCAATGCTTGTTTCTCTTCCCTAACTGAAATTTTAGACTAGTTTCTTCCTTCTTTGTCTGTCTTTCCTTCCTTCCTTCCTTCCTTCCTTCCTTCCTTCCTTCCTTCCTTCCTTCCTTCCTTCCTTCCTTCCTTCCTTCCTTCCTTCCTTTTTTCTCTCTTCCTCCTCCCCCTTCTCTATCTCCTTCTTTTGTGCTAATACCAAGGCTCATACTGAAGGTCTTGTGGTCTTGCTTTGTTTTCACTCACAGCTGTCACTCTACCACTTGAGCCACATATCCAGTCCTGCATTTTGCTGGCTAATTAGAAATATAAGCTCACAGAATTCTCTGTTGAGCTGAGAAAGCCAGGATCCTCAGTTCTCAGCTTCCTCAATAGCTAAGATTATGAGTGTGAGCCACTGGTAACTGGCCTGGGAAATATCTTCTAAATGTCAGAATGTGATGTTTAGGTTACCTTTTGATTTGAGCATAGTGCCCTGTTCTCAAGTAGCATCCCTTTGCATTCAGAGTTTGCGCAGAACATCTTTAGCTGAAACAGTATGTAGGTCTCTAGTTCCTTACTTGAGGTCCATCCCTGTCTGTGTATCCAGAGATGTCGTCTGGGTATAGAAAATTTGCTATTGGGTAGGAGGAGAAAATCAGGCCTTGGACTTTCCCCTCGGTGAATATACCAGGGCATTATGGTTGGTGACTTGAACATAAGGCATGGCAACCATTGGCAGTTGCAAAGCAATTTGCTTAGTGATCATCTACCCATCAGGCCTGGATAGAAGGAACCCCTTTCTACCAACTATATGTAAACATTCTGAGAACTCCATCTTCCCTAAGTAGTCCTAGAGGAGGCTGAAGCCCAGGTCCTGGGCACCTGAGCCTGAAGTGACTACAAACCCAGACAGGCTCGTCACTGCATGCTTGCAGAAGCCCTCCCTGACCTGCTGTCTTAGGCTTTTATTAGGCCCAATTAAGCAAACAGAAGCAACCCAGGCCTGTCTGTGATTGTTCTCCACGACCTATTAAACTTATTAAAAATGATTGATTTTCCTTCCTTAGCCAAGAATCATCCAGCCCTCAGCTTTTAAGGGTGTGGCTGGGCCAGCAGTAAAAACTGTAGTAGATCTTTGGGAAAGCTCTATGGTTCTTGAGCTCCTACTATAGTCAAGCCCCTTGAACAGGTAATGATACTTCCAGAACTGTTGGTAGCCTGAGAAACTGATGTAAATAGGAGGATGAGGCTGAGTATGTGAATGTGTTTGTAACAGCAATATTTATAATAGAAAATCTGTCAGGGAGAGAGATGTCATGGTTCAGTAAATTTCATGGGTTATTGCCACTAAAAAGAAATATTATAATGGTAATGCAGGTTCATAACAAAAGCCTATGAACAATTAAAAAATGCAGCGATGAGCTGGGCTCACGCCTGTAATCCTAGCTACTCAGGAGGCTGAGATCTGAGGATCACGGTTCAAAGCCGGCCCGTCAAGAAAGACCTTGAAACTCTGATCTCCAATAAACCACCAGAAAACCAGAAGTGGCGCTGTAGCTCAAGTGGTAGAGTGCTGGCCTTGAGCTGAAGAGCTGAGGGACAGCGCTCAGGCCCAGAGTTCAAACCCCACGACTGACAAAAAAAAAATGCATCAATGGGACTGGGAAGGTGGCTCAGTGGTAGAGTGTTTGCCTTGCATGCATGAGGCCCTGGGTTCAGTTCCTCAGCAACATATAAGCAGAAAAAGCTAGAAGTGGTGCTGTGGCTCCAGTGGTAGAGCGCTAGCCTTGAGCTAAAGAGCTGAGGGACAGTGCCCAGGCCCAGAGTTCAAACCCCATGACCAACAAAAAATATAAATAAATTAATTAATAAATGCATCAAGACTGATCCAATTTCTATACCTCTTTTTGGCTTATAGACAAGGATGGTCATAAGATTATAGAAAAATGACAATGAAAGCTGGATGCTGGTGGCTCACGCCTGTAATCCTAGCTGCTCAGGAGGCTGAGATCTGAGGATCTCGGTTCGAAGCCAGCCCGGGCAGGAGAGACCGTGAGACTCGTATCTCCAATAAACCACCAGAAAACTGGAAGTGGCACTGTAGCTCAAGTGGTAGAGCGCTCGCCTTGAGCTGAAGAGCTGAGGGACAGCGCCCAGGCCCAGAGTTCAAGCCCCACGGCCTACCAAAAAAAAAAAAAAGAAAGAAAGAAAAATGACAATGAAGCCAGGTGCTGGTGGCTCACGCCTGTAATCCTAGCTACTCAGAAGGCTAAGATCTGAGGATTGTGGTTCAAAGCCAGCCCAGGCAGGAAAATCCGTGAGACTCTTATCTGCAGAAAACCAGAAGTGGTGCTGTGGCTCAAGTGGTAGAGTGCCTGCGTTGAACTGAAGAGCCCAGGCCCAGAGTTCAAGCCCCACGACTGACAAAAAAAAAGAAAGAAAAATTACAATGGGTAGTTTATTAGGACGGTGGATGATGTCTTTAAATGATTATTTGCATAACTGGTAGTGTTTGTAAATATAATGTCAGGCAAACCTCCATATTCAATATAGATTGAGAGCCATCCAACATCTCTGGCACATGTAGCCCCTTTATCAGAGATAGACACATACTTGTACCTGTACTCTGTATGGGTCAACAAGGAGTCCTTGTTCATTGTGAGTCTCACAGCTCTAAGTCCACAATACACTGTCAGTGCTTTTTCATTCATTAAGCATTCTGACATTTCCCAGGATATATCTGGCACTGTCCAAGTGGCTAACCATTTTTGTTCAGTATAAAAGTCACCATCCACCCCCTCACTACATTTTGCTTTCCTGCTCTTACAATTTTTAGGGGATTGTGAACATGATACACTGGGAATATGACAGATGTTCCCATTCCATCAGATTCTTGATTTACACACTAGTCTTCTCTCAAGCCTTCTGCTTCCTTTTCTTCCTTAATGGTCTTCCTTAAGACCATTTCATTCCATTGTCAGCTGTGCAGTTTGGGTCCTGTGCAGATCACCTCCCTGGAGAATTGCAAGAAAGATATTTTATAGCAATTACCCCCTACATACCTATTTAATTCCTGAAAAATGTCATCTGTGGGCGTGTTTCTATAAAACTCCTTTCTTAAAAGTTTTGTCAGCTGTGGCTTAGCAGCTGGGGGAAAAGTATCCCAACAAAATGAGTCCCCTCAGTCAAGCTCAAGATTTCTTTTTCCAGACTTGTGAATCTTTTTGAGCAGTAGGCTGTGACAATCACCCACTCCGACCACCTACTTCCTAGTTGAAACCAGGTGCATGGTGACAGGAAGATTCCAGGACATTTTGCTCCCAGTCACTAAGTATTTCTAAGAGGGCACTACATCTGCCTGACTAGAATATTAGTGGTGTTGCTCCTTAAGAGATAATGACCAGCAGGCTCACTGAATTCCATGGCACACTTCATTTGGTAGACTGAAGGACAAGGCAGTTTGGAATCAAGTCTCCCATCGTACTTTCTCTGTGATGGGTGCTAGATCGAAGAAGGCCCACACGGCTCAGCTGTGCCTATGGGATGACTAATAAGAGAACCAAGGAGCCCTTGGTTAGAGAATAAGTGTTCAGAGGAGGAAATGAATGGCAAAGTGTTGGGCAATAGGGCCCAACTGAGAGGTGGGCACTTTTCTGTAGCATGTGACACTTCTGCCCCAATATCACTATCTAAATTCCTTTTCCTGTTTTACTTTGAAATCTAGCCCTTTGGAGACTGTGCAAGGCAGCGCAGCAGGATAGGAGAGTAAGCATAAGGGCTGAGAGGGAGGGTACTGAATGCTCACGGGCCAGGTACTAGCTCCTTACGCCCCCAGCTCCCCTCAGGAATCGGAGTTCAGCCTCTATGGGGAGGAGGTAGAAGACCTGGCAATTATTGGATTCACGCCATATGGAGCTTTATCTGCATACTCATTTAGTTTTCAGTCTTGTTTTGAGGAAGTTTTGGAGGAAGACACTAAGAATGAGAGTTTGCTCTATGGCTGGTTGACTCTCCTGATAGACCACAGCAGGTCTGAAGTTGGTTTTAGCCTGTAGCTAGCCATCCTCCCCCAAAAGTTGCTTGGGCTCAACCAAGTTGTTGAGAACAAGCTGATCTGCTTGTACAGTCTTTTTGTTTTTGTTATTTTGTTGTGTGTAGTCTAGTCTGACCTCAAGTTCATGGTCTTCCCTCAGCCTCTCAAATCCTGATACAGTACAGACTAGTGCTACCATGCTTGGCTCCCCTCTCAGGTTTGAGGTGACCCACAGGTACAATGATTCTCCCTGACTGTCCCCACCACAGCAGCCCGGCTGCAGCCCCAGTTTGATCATCCACTGAGTCTAGCCGGAAAAATCTCCAACCTACTCCCTCCTGTTCCTCTTACAGTGAATCGCTGTGGCCAATTGAAGCCAGAAATGCAGCCATTGCCAACCACTGTTTCACTTGTGCCATTAACCGTGTGGGTGAGGTAAGTCTCTGAGTTCTGGTTGAGGAAAGGAGCTCTGGCCTTGGTGGGGACACATCACAGGTGTCTCCCTGTTCTCCATGTTTGCAGTCTCAGAAGAGGGTAACTGGCTTCATGTGGTACTACTTTTTGTTTTTAACCAAAATCATTCTGAGAGGATCTTTGATTTTGTAGTTCTCAATTGCTCATTGCCAAATTTCCTTCTTTGACCCCATGAATAGATCCTATGAACTGAATAGCTTTGACAGATACTATGTTTATTTCATACTAGCATTCTCCCACCTCTGTCTCTGTCTCTGTCTCTGTTTCTCTGTGTGTGTGTGTGTGTGTGTGTGTGTGAGTGTGACTCACAATTTGAACCCAGGGACTTGTACATCTGAGGCAAGACTACTATACACTAGCCACACTTTCACCCTCTCTTCCTTCTTCTTAATAATCAAATATTAAACTCACATTAGAACGTCTGACAAGTCTGAGAAAACGAAGGTTTGCACACATCCACACTAAGTCGACTGACTTTGCACTTTGGGCAACATAAAAACCTCCATACTTTAGCCAGTCCAGGGTCTCAGTAGTTTAGAAAGTCTAACCTCATATGCTTTCCACAACCCTAAGGACTAGGATTTTTCCCTCCCAGATTACAAATTCCTCATAGACAAAAAAATAAAAATCTGCTTTTACCTCCCTTGTCAAATTCCTTGCTGGCTAGCCATTGCTCAATGCTCAGTGAAACATTTAACAAGTACGTCTTGTTTGTCTAGAGAGTCAGACCCTTCCACCTCCCTTCAACCATTTCTTAGCTAACTTCCCTCAGCATGCCCTCTGTTGTTGATCTGGCCAAGTGATCTGGAATGCATGTCACAGTGGTGCCATCCATAGGCTTCTCTTACCTTGCTTTTCCTTCATAGGAGCACTTCCCCAATGAGTTTACTTCTGGAGATGGAAAGAAAGGTAGGTTCTGCCAACTCTTGTTTTGGTGGGTCCCACCCTCCCCTTGTCCATTTACTTGTTCCTGGCAGGGTCTGCCCACAGCCTGACTCAGCTCAGTGGAGACACTGACTCTTCTGCTTTGTTGCCTGTGGTGGGAGAGCTTCTATGGCATGGACAGCCAAAGGGGGATTGGCTTCACACCCCTCCCAGAACTGTGAAAATGTGTGAGAATTCTCCCTCCTTCCTTTCCTTGCCACCACCCAGTCAACAAAGACTGCCTTAGGTTTCTGGAACCCATAGCTTGTTTTGATCTGTGACACCCCACAACACCTCTGTAGGAAACCTACACAGTTCCCATCTGGCTTAGGATGTGGAAAGGAGGGGCTTCCCTTCTTTAGGTGTCTCAATTTCCTGGAGGTAGCAGGTGGGGTCCCTCCCTAAGAACCTAAGGGGTTAGCAGGAGGGTGAGATCTATTTTCTTCCCAAGAAAAGACTTCTTAAAGGGATTCCACACCCCCATCATGAGTGCCCAGATGCCACCCAGACCTGCATTCTTCAATATCAATTAGCCTACTGCATTCTTCAATATCAATTAACATACGAAAGAGGCAGAAAGATGAGTGTTTTTAGCTACATATCCCAGCCTGACAGCCACAAACTCTTCACATGCCTCTGGGGTATCTCTTGGCCTCTGATGACTGGTGAGAGGACCAAGGCATAGGAGGGGGGTAAAGTGACAGAGCTTACAGGACAGTTTACTAAGTGGGACACCATAGGAAGTGGTCATACAGGAAGCCCTGAGTGTGGGTGGCCAGTGTTGATAGTGAAAAGCCAACATTGCTTAAGGGTGACATTTAGAAACTTTCTCAGAGTCAGAGTGGAATGACACAATGGTCACCTTTGCAGCCTCTCGGTGGATGTTCAGGCAGGAGGAAGCGGGCAAGTCCTTTGGGCTTAGGTGTTTTCCAGACTCTGGGGAGGGTGGTATGGACACTTTGTCCTGGTTTCCCTCAGGGTGCCTGCCCCTCTGCAGAGCCCACATTGTGTGTGTACAAGCTTGTGATTGCTTCCCTTTGTGTCTTAAAGCTCACCATGACTTCGGCTACTTTTATGGCTCGAGCTATGTGGCAGCCCCTGATGGCAGCCGGACTCCTGGGTTGTCACGTAACCAGGATGGGCTACTAGTTGCTGAGCTCAACCTCAACCTCTGCCAGCAGATGAATGACATGTGGAACTTTAAGGTGGGTGCCCAAGTCCCCTGCCTCCTGCCTCACCATCTTGCCTGTTGGGCCAGAAATTGCAGTTGCCCGGTTTGTACTCAGATGACCTGCAGAGGGTGCCCACTCTCACCTGAGAGTTCCAGGAGTGCAGAGAGCCAGGCCTCTGCTTCCCTCCTGCCTGCAGGGATGAGCCACTGGGATGAAGGATGCGCCTGCAGCAGGCCTCAAGTCCTCCTCTCATCTGATTTAGAGTGCAGCGCCTCCACACAAATTAATCCCAATTTCATTTGTCCAGAGACTAGAGTGGATTGGCTTCTATAATCTTTTTTTTTCCTTTCCAGGCATTTGCACTTGTTGAAAGATAAATGTGTGTGTCTGGTTCTGTCTGTGACCAGGCTCCACAAAGTAGGCCTGGACAATGGTGAGAAATGGATCATGTAGAGAAACTGGATCCAGGCCTGGCTCTGGCTCTGCCTTGGCCTTGCAGGCAGCTTTTGCTTGTAGGCTTGAGGACTGATCATAAAATGAGAGGCCTAACTCAAGGATTCTCTGCTGCTTTTTTTTTTTTTTTTTGCCAGTTGTGGGGCCTGAATTCTGGGCCCGGGTGCTGTCCCCCAGCTCTTCAGCTCAAAGCTAGTGCTCTACCACTGGAGCCACAGCGCCACTTCCGGCTTTTTCTGCTTATGTGGTACTGAGGAATCGAACCCAGGGCCTCATGCATGCAAGGCAAGCGCTCTACCACTGAGCCACCTTCCCAGCCCCTCTCTGCTGCCTTTGAGGTAGAACATCACCACAGTCTGAGAGGACTGTTCGGGCCTATCATCTGAGGTGGGAGAGTGGCTGCCAAGACTAGGGTCATCTGGAAGAGCTTAGAGGTTGAATGTTTGCTATACTCAAGTCCCGTAGTATTTTGTCCCACTTCCACTCTAGGTTCCTCCTAATCAAACCAAACCAAACCACTGAGTCCTGAGAATCAGACTTCACTGGGGTTGTGATCTGCTTTTAAACAGACTGAGAAGCCTTGCTTCTCCACTTACTTGTGCATGGGGCATTGGAAATGTCCTCCAACCTCAAATCCTTGCCGGACAAACAAGGCTTTGCCCTAATCTGTCTCTTTTTGGACAGCTAAGATGAATGCAGGATTCTTGTAACTCAGAAGGCACAGCCAATACTGCCAACTACCTATTTTAACAAGTATCACCAGAAGCAATAAGCAGAATATTTTCTCATTAGGTACTTGCTCAAAACAGAGCCTTCCCCATAATTGTGATGAGTGTGAGCTGATGTCCAGGTTTTTAGAAGGAGCTGACTTGTGGAGGAGAGAGGCAGGGGGCAGGGAGGTGAGTATAACTGGGAATGTGTAACCTAAGTGGACTTTCTGGCTTTTCATCCCTAGTCGCTGTTTCCATATGGAATTTCCACATGGAGCAGACCTACTTCATACTCTGCCAGGAAAGTCAAGTTTAAATTCCCAGTGTTCTCTGCTCCTGGTTCTAGTGACCTGAAGAAGTCACTTCCTTTTCTGAGTCTTACTTAGGCTGCTCTTCTGAAATTCTTCCCGACTGCCTCAGAGGAAGCCATATAGCCTTCCAGCACCTGGAAGGTGCTGGTTGCAGGTCTCAGCAGGCTGTCCTGGACTGTGAGAGTGAGCTTGGCACTCGTGAACCTCACGGGAATCCGGGCAGAGAGGTCACACTGGAGGTGCTTTTCTATTCTAGTCTGGAACTGTCCTGTCTGCCAGCCTGATGAATTCCTGTCCCGTGGCTGCCCCCCAGTGGCAAGAGGTAGAGGCAAGCAAGTGTTTGTAAACAGGAAACTACAAATGTGTGTGTTTTGCTTTCAGATGACTGGCAGATATGAAATGTATGCTCGGGAGCTTGCAGAAGCTGTCAAACCCAACTACCATCCCACCATCATGATGGAGTCCTTGACTTCAGCCTCTGCCTACCAACATGGGGAAGAACAGGGATCTCTGTCCCTAGTGGATTCATATCATAGTACCTAGAGGAGTTTTTAAATGTACCTGCAGGGGGAAGGTGCAATGGAGAGTGTCTGCTAATAATGGATGCAGAGTTACCTTCTGGGACGATTGAACAGTTTTGGTGTTAGATTCAGGTGATGATTACACTAGATCGAACGAAATTAAATACCACCAGGGGCTGGGAAGGCGGCTCAGTGGTAGAACGCTTGCCTTGCATGCATGAGGCCCTGGGTTCGATTCCCCAGCACCACATAAGCAAAAAGAAAAAAAGTCAGAAGTGGCGCTGTGGCTCAAGTGATAGAGGGCTAGCCTTGAGCTGAAGAGCTGAGGGACAGCATCTAGGCCCAGAGTTCAGGCCCCACGACCAGACTCCCCCCCCCCCCCAAAAAAAAAAAAAGAAATTAAATACCACCAGATTGTGGGGTCCTTCAGCATCCAAAAACTTCCTGCTTCAGTTTTCCCAGGAGAAGCAGATAGTTGGCCTAATAAGTGACAAGTTGGTACCTTTAGGAAATAAGTACTAATGTATTAGACACTTTTTGATTACCCACACAGAATGGAGATGCCTGTCTTAGAGACAGACCCTGAATAGATGTGGTCATTTCAGGGTTGGCCTCTTACCTGGAACTTAACGTGCTCAGTAAACGTTTGTTCAATGACTGCCCTGTGATTAGGACAGGTGTCAGGGGCAGACTCCTAGGCAAGAACTTGCATTGATCTGTGACCTACTTGCCCTAGGACCCCTGTGCAATCTTGGAGAACACCTTCGGATCCCTCAGTTTTGTCAGCTATGAGAAGGTGACATCTGTAAGATGACTGACTGAGGTGCAAAGCTTTTCTTAGATCCCCGAGTTCTGGCAAGCAACCTTCATGACAGGTCACAGAATTATTTTGGTGCTGGTGATTGAACCCTGGGCCTCACACATAATAAACACATATGGAATTTTCAACAATAGACTATATGTTATACCTTAAGACAAATCTGAATACATTGAAAAGAAACCTGGGAAATTGACAAATTGGTGGGAAGTAATGACTATTCTTTATTTTTTTTCACTGCTGGGAAACAAACTCAGAATCTTGTCCACGGTAGGCAAGCACTCCAGCAGTGAGATACATATTCTGTCCAACAACACATTCTTCTTTTCTTTTCTTTCCTTTTTTTTTTTTTTTTTGGCAAGTCCTGGGGTTTGAACTCAGGGCCTAGACACTGTCCCTGAGCCTCTTTATGCAGAAGGCTAGCACTCTACCACTTGAGCCACAGTTCCACTCCAGGATTTTTTTTTTTTTTTTTGAGAAGTTTAATGGGGACTTTTCTGTCTGGGCTGACTTTAAACCTGTATCTTCAGAGCTCAGCCTTCTGATTAGGATTCCAGGCATCGGGGCTGGGAAGGTGGCTCAGTGGTAGAGCGTTTGCCTTACATGCCTGAGGCCCTGGGTTCGATTCCCCAGCACCACATAAGAAAAAAGCCAGAAGTGGCACTGTGGCTCAAGTGGTAGAGTGCTAGCCTTGAGCTGAAGAGCTGAGGGACAGCGCCCAGGCCCAGAGTTCAGGCCCCACGACCGGACCAAAAATAAAAAGGATTTCAGGCATGAGCCACCAGCTCAACAAAACATTGTTGAAACACCAAGGAAGTTAGAAAATATCTTGAGACACACAAAAACAAAAAGCAGTGTCACCAGTGTGGAGGCTCTTGACTATCAGAATAGCTACTGAGGAGATGGAATTAGGGAGGATCTTAGTTTGAGACTAGCCCTGGCAAAAGTTCGAGACTTCATTTTAACCAATAAAGCTGGATGAAGTGGTGCACACTTGTCACCCCAGCTGCATGGGAAGGAAGAACAGTGAAGGCAGGGAGAGCTGGGTGAATGGCTCAAGTGGTAAGAGTACCTGGCTAGCAAGTATAAGACTGCGAGTCCAGGGGCTGGGAAGGTGGCTCAGTGGTAGAGCGCTTGCCTTGCATGCATGAGGCCCTGGGTTCGATTCCTCAGCACCACATAAGCAGAAAAAGCTGGAAGTGGTGCTGTGGCTCAAGCAGTAGAGCGCTTGTTGAGCTGAAGAGCTGAGGGACAGCGTCCAAGCCCAGAGTTCAAGCCCCACGACCTACAAAAAAAAAAAAAAAAGCCATGCCAAGAAAGAATATAGTATGAATACTTGTATTGAAAGATAGATTTTTCTAGGTTGAAATTGGGGGAGGGGAAGGGGGACGAAGATGGGGGAGGGCAGAGCAGAGATAGGGAGGATTGCATTTCTGGAAGCAGCCCAGACAAAATTTGTGAGACTCCATTTCAAAGCTAGGCATGGTAGTATGCTCCTATCATCTTGGCTACGTAGGAAGCATAAAAAGATCACAGTCTAGGCTCAAAGGCATAAACATGAGACCCCATTTAATAAAGCAGAAAGGGCAGGGAGGCATGGCTGTCAGATCACCTGCCTTGCAACACAAGGCCCTGAATTCGAATCCTCCTGCAGCCAAACAACAAAACCCAAACCAACAACCAAACTTCATGCATTATTCACATGTTAATGGATAAAAAAAGAGCAAATGAAATTCTGTGCTGGCCAAAGGATTAGAGAAATAACTAGAAAAGAGAAAAATGACAGGCAGTCAGTGAAACCAAATGTTTATTTTTCAAGAAAACAAAGCTAGGCGGCATATACATAGCTGTAACCCCAGTAACTTAGGAGGTGAAGACGGGGATCGATCATGAGTTCAAGGCCAGTCTGGGCTGCACCCTGTCTTAGAGAAATGACAGCCTTTATATTAAGAAAAAAAATACCTGGAAATTTAGCAGTAAAAATGGGAGCATTAAGCCGGGCACTGGTGGCTCACGCCTGTAATCGTAGCTACTCAGGAGGCTGAGATCTGAGGATCGCGGTTCAAAGCCAGCCCAGGCAGGAGAGACCATGAGACTCCTATCTCCAATAAACCACCACAAAACCGGAAGTGGCGCTGTAGCTCAAGTGGTAGAGCGCTCACCTTGAGCTGAAGAGCTGAAGGACAGCGCCCAGGCCCAGAGTTCAAGCCCCACGACCGACCAAAAAAAAAAAAGGGAGCATTGCTAGTGATTTTACAGAAATAAAAAGAATGTCAAGATAATCGTATGGACAATATATGCCAACAACCTGGATACTCTAGGTGAAATGGACAAAGCTGTAGAAACAAAACCTACCAAGATTGAGTCATGAAGGAACAGGAAAATCTGAATAGATTTAGACTAGCAAGGAGAACTAATCAATAAAGACTTTGAGAGAACGTTTGAACCAGGTAGTGAATTCTACCAAAAAATTTAAAGAACTAGTAACACTCTTCAAGCTCTTCCAAAAAATTGGAGGAATACTTCCTAACTTGCTCTATGAGGCCAACACTAATGTCAAAGTCGAAGACACTACAAAAAACAAGACAAGCCAGGTGCCCATGGTTCATGCTGTAATCCTTGCTACTAAGAAGGCTGAGATCTGGAGAGAGAGGTTCAAAGCCAGCCTGGGCAGGAAACCCCATGAGACTCTTTATTGAACTTCCAAAAGCCAGAAGTGGAGCTGTGGCTCAAGGCGTAGAATGCTAACCTTGAGGGAAAAACTAAGCAGACAACACCTTAGGGACAGCACCCAAGCCTTGAGTTCAAATCTCATGGTTGATACAAAACAAAAACAGAAAAAACAACCCCAAATATTTATAGATAGATAGTCCTTGTACTGCTTTTTAGATGGATTCTTGCTTTGTGGCCCAGGTTGGGCTCATTTGTCCTGCTTGGACTATAGATAGGTACCACTGAGCTTGGCTTCCTTGTGAATATTGATGCAAAACCCCAACAGATTCCCAACAAATCAAATTGAACAATTAAGATGTTCATTTACCATGACTAGGTGGGATTTATTCTTGGAATACAAAGCTGATTCACTATAGTTGGTAGGGAAACCAATACATCACATTAACAGAATGATTTTTGTTAATTCTGGTCATTAATGTGACTATCGTAATTGCTAAAGAACATTTGGCAAAATTGAAGGAGGGAACCAAGAAAACCTTTTAGAACTAATCATCTAATTTAGAAAATTGGCCACATACTAAGACTGTTTCACAATTAAAAAAAAAAAAGAAAGAATGCCACTTTTTTCCAGTACTGGGACTTGAAATCAGGACCTTCAGCTTATTCAACTGGTGCTCTACCAATTGAGCTATGCCCCCAGAACAGCTTTTTTCTTTGGTTGGTTGTGGGGCTTGGCCTCAGGGCCTGGGAACTATCCCTGAGCCTCTTTGTGCTCAAGGCTAGTGCTCTACCACTTGAGCCACAGCACCACTTCCAGTTTTCTATTGGTTGATTGAAGATAAGAGTCTCACAGACTTTTCTGCCTGGGCTGGCTTTGAACTGCAATCCTCAGATCTCACACTCCTGAGTATCTAGGACTACAGGTGTGAGCCATCAGCGCCCAGCTCACTTCTAGTTTCTGAGTGGTTATTTAGAGATAAATATGTACTTTTCTGCCTGGGCTGGCTTCAAACTGCAGGCATCAGCTCTCAGCCTTTTGAGTGATTAGGATTATAGGCATGAGCCACCAGTGCCCAGCCAGAACAGCTTTTTGATGATTATTTTGGTGATGTGTGAATTTCTGCCTAGGCTTCCCTCAAACCTCTTGGTTTCAGCCTTCTGAGTAGCTAGGATTATAGGTGTGAGAGACTGGCATAAGGATCATTGTTTCCAATTTCTAATCAACGTTGTGTTTTGGAAATTCTAGACAAAACAGTTGACCAGATGAAATTTTTTTAAAAATGTTCCCTGTTTGCAAGGAACAAAATCTCACATATAGAAAGCCAAGGATTCCACTCTCTAATAACTTTTAGAAGTAATAAGTTAACTCAACAAATTGGCATGGTACAAAATGAACACACAAAGCCAAGTATGGTAGCACAAACAAGCACCAGGAAGTAGAGGCAAGAAGCTTGGCCTGGGTTATATAGATCCTATCTCAATAAAATAAACCAAAAATATTAACATTTAAAAATATTAGTGTTTCTATTCATTAACAAATCCAAAAGGAAATTAAAACACTTCTATAACAATAGTATCAAAAAAGAATAATACCTAGGAGTTGACCCAGTAAGATGATAAACATTACTGAAGAAAAGATCATCTAAATAGCTCATTTTCTTGAGTTGGAAAACTTAATA